CTTGCCGACGAGAAATATTCCGACACTTACACGGTCTTTCACATCCAGGAATCCGAGCCACAACTAAACTGATTACTGAACGTTTCGTGTGGCCAAAGATTAACTCAGATATAAAACGATGGACTCGAAGCTGCCTACAATGTCAACGCAGCAAAATTCAAAAACACACAGTCAGTCCTGTTGGGAAGTTCCCTTTGCCGGAGAAGCGTTTCCAACACATCCATCTAGATATAGTCGGTCCCTTGCCGTCATCGAAATCATTCACGCATATACTCACATCGGTGGACAGATTCACAAGATGGGCTATAGCATGTCCCATCGCCGACACTTCTGCAGAGACAGTAGCCGCTACATTCCTTGACCGATGGATATCAAACTATGGAGCACCATCTATCATCACTACAGATCATGGTCCCCAGTTCCAGTCAATCTTATTTCAGGAATTCACAAGACTTCTGGGTGTGAACCACATTAAAACGACAGCTTATCATCCAGTGGCTAATGGTCTGGTCGAAAGATTTCACCGCCAATTGAAAAGCGCACTGATGGCACAAACTGATACAACAAAATGGAGTGACGCACTACCGCTCGTACTCCTGGGAATTCGCTCAACTATCAAGGAGGATATCGGATGTACTTCTGCTGAACTGGTTTACGGCACAACACTTACGTTGCCAGGCCAATTGGTTGACACGGACACATCGACACCAAGTGACCCAAGTCGATTCGCTAGTCGACTGCTACAAACCATGCAGAGCCTAAAAGCCATACCGCCACGGGAGCATAATAACCGCATATATCTTGACAAGAATCTGATGACGTGCAAATATGTTTTCGTTCGCGTCGACGCGGTTAAAAAGCCACTGAAACAACCTTACGATGGACCATATCAAGTAATTAAACGAACTAATAAACATTTCACAATCAACAAAGGTGGAAAGAAGGAGACTATCGCTACCGATAGAATTAAACCAGCTTTCTACGAAACTCAACTCGACAAAGAAGACAATATCACTGATAAACAAAACCTCATGCAAAGTCACAGGAAAGCAGTAGAGGAGCAGGAACAGACAGTTAAACCCACTTGCTTAACACGTTCCGGCAGAGCCATGAATAAACCTAAACGCTATGTACATTTCACTGATTAAAATGAGAACGGAATTCAACAACTTGCTGTTAATGTACATTATATTGTTAAAAACTCTCATTCTCCTAAATAAAAACTAATATACCCTTTTGGTCTTCTAACACGTGCATATATTAAACCACATTTTTTTTTCGTAATAACTCGTATGGTCACATTATATTTTTTTAACACTATTATTAACGAGTTAATTTTTTTTTCCCAAAAAAAAAATAAAAAATAAAATAAACAATTCAACTTTTGTGTGGGTTTATTAATAGTTTTGCACGTTGTTATTTTTTTTTTACATTAACGCGTCGTATCATATTAATGTACATGCCATACCATTCTCCACTTTCCTGCATTGCTTTTCTAATTATTATACATAAATGCACACACTGTACGCTCACATATTTTTTTTTTAATATAACCAGTGTTAACTCCGGACACTCTGAAGGGAGCTTTGTGGAGATGGCATGACAAACTTATTTTGTAAACAGTTTTTGATACTATCTGTATTTATTTCACAGCTTGTACATTCACTATGAGATTGTTGTACTTTTTGTTTACGTGTGTGACCTTGATTATTACAGGCGCTTGATATATACATACACACGCTGCTTTCACTTTCCGTTCATTGTACACTAGCACGGCCCTCGCCGCTATATATATTATCAAATACACTTTAAACATACCATTGCTATTCTCATCTGCTTAGTGGATATTATTCATAATAATTAATACGTATGTTATCTACTTTATAGACTGCCGCCACATACACATACTGACCTTCGGATTATCATGATAAATGGAATATTAAACGAACCAAAATTGTGGTAAAAGACCACCAGATCAAATCGAACACGCACAAGTAGCTGCATTAAGTAACGTTCTTATATTTTTATTGTATTTATAGCATTTAACTGATATATTTCAATATGAACTCATTGATATCTGATAACCTTGTTAATATTTTGAAATAATATATTGGGTGGTCCACCACAATATCATTATTGGTCCTCCGACACATTAGATATTCTTTTATCTCTTCTTATTCCTCTAAACATATTTAATTCCTGATTGTCTTTTGCAATTAATTGTGACTTTCATAGCATCACTCTTAATTATTATTGCACAGATGTTTATATTAATATCCGGTTTCACTCTGTATATTATTACATAAATCTGCATGTATTTATGCGAGTGCACTAAAGGGTTTATTTTATTTTCTACATTGTTAGTTTGCTTCAGAGGTCGATATTCATTACACAATTTTTTATTAATAACATTTTTTAACCCTTTCACTAGATGTCCATTTCTTCTCTCTCTCCTTTTTCTTTCGAAATAAGTATTATTAAGTGTACGAAGTTTGTTATTAAAACAATAACTTGTGTCACATTTCAATTAACTTCTCAGAATCATTTTATCTTCACGATGCATATATGTCTCATGCAGATTGATATTTCATTATCCTTCTTACTTAATTGAGATGTGAATAGCATCAATACAAACTATGACTGCACAAACATTTATTCTAGCGTCATATCTTACTGCAATAATAAGTTACTTTTTCATAATTATTTTCCATTTTATTCTTGTTACTAATTTGACGACATAATTGTTTGCTCTTGTTCTGTGTTCGTAAGCACGCTTATTGACCTATTTGCGTATTTCACTTCTCCTTTATTTCTATTCCCTTGTTTGCTTCCTTTCCTTCTTTGAACTCAATTCAATATTCTTCTCAATTACACAGAACCTGATTTGTTATTATTATTCTATTAGTATTACACTCTTTTTTTAAATATAGAAAATATAATGCTAACGTAACTGAAAATAGTGTATTATTGCATTTTTGAAGAAGCCCGAAATGGTTTCTTCACAACGCTTATGTGCTCAAAAGATGTTTGTGAATAATAATAATAATAATAAACAGTATCCTAGCATCCTCTAATGATTTCAGCAATTTCCTGGCCTGTAGAATATCCCTAACGCCAATAGTGTTAAGAGCCTTGAATAAATTTGATGTTTGGTGTGCTCCCTCCTGAGGAAGCCGTGTCACCGTTAGTGGCCTTGTTCTGAGACTTTTATGCTTCTTTTTCGGATTTTCTTAGTATTTGTTGTTGTTTTGTCGCACAGATCGATAGAAAGGTGAGAGCTGTTTTTTTAGGTTCATGATTATCGAGGAATCGTTACGAAAGTTGATCAGTTTCCCATCTTTTCGAGCACGTTGAAGTTGGGGTTATTACTGTTCGGAAGTTAAGATTCTTGTGAATTTTGTTGGCCAATCGGACAATTCTAAAGGTAGATAGAGCAATCTATTCATTTACTGATTTTCACGCGTAACCTGGAACGTTAAGCTATTTAGAAGGTGACCCTCTATTTTGTCGAACACTATTGACGAAGCTCAAGTCACGCAGTTTAGGTTTTGAGGACAACGGTTGTATTTAGAAAGTCTATGCCGGTAAACACAAGTTCTCATTCGACTACTTTTGGTTGGCTTCTCATATAAGTTCATTCAATTCAAGAAGGCCTTTCCTCAGGAGCTTTGACAATGTTTTGCAAAAACCTGACCTTAGAACAATTTATTGCTCCGCAAATCCTGATGATTCATGTTGTATCTTCCACATACCTCTTTGTGATCCTCCTCCATCAGAGCTAACGAAGTATCACCTCTCACGATAGCTCACTGAAATGTTAGATAGGCACCGGTTTAAATTTCGCAAAACGGAGCTTAACTTCTGTGCTAATATGTACCATAAAAACTGTGAAGTATAACAGACGTATACATCTGATTCCTAATATTTTCAATAATACGTTTTGGTGAAGGAATGTTCGTGAGAGTTGGTTTTGTATCAGTAGATTTTGAGCTGGGGATTCTTCAGGGTTTTATGCGATCGATAGATGATTGTAGTGAGTTATGTATCATCAACACTAATGAGAGTGGCTTGTTTCTTGTGATAATCTTTCCTAGATAGCTCTAAATTTTCAGTTTTCTCGGGTGAGGACAAGGAAATGAGCAAGGATCCGCGTTTTCGACTTGTTTCATATAATTTTTCTCTATGATTGGATGAACATCTGTCCTAGTGTTCTTGATGACATATTTTGGGACAATACGAGCACGACGAGAACTTACATTAGTAGCTCGGACAAGAAGGGTTGTCTAGCGGGGTTTCGCCGATGGTTCATCAACCAATGAATACTGTCATTGATAAGACCTGTTCTATCGAGCCATGACCCTGCGCTGCACCATCCAACTTTATCAACCGTTAAGTCTTCACATCTAAAGACACTCTAATTTAGGGTTTCGTGTGACCCTGGAACCTCCGCAAAAAACATTCTAGGCTTAATTTGTTTATTGAACTCGCTATTTGCTGCGTTCGATGCTGCGAGTAATTGTGTAGTCTCATATGGTGTGACGTGTCCGTGGTATTGAGTTTATCCATAGCAGAGCGTGGCGTCAGTGTTTTTAGGTTAGAATGATACGAGTTGCATGATGGCCAGTGTGAGTGTATCAGCTCACATAAGATCAGGCTTGTGTACTGGCTTAATGGGAACAAGATATGTAAAGGGTATAGGACACAAAAGAAATCACAAAATATAAAATATACATATATAACTTTACATAATGGAACAAACTTCTCTGGCATTCTAGATATCGTCTGGGTTCATCAAGGAAGAGAATACAGTTAGTTGTGACTTAAAAGTCGTAACCTCTGAAATTCCAACATCCTTTCTTTGAAGAACTGAAAATGGAAATGCTCGGCAATGTGGAGAATGAATCTAACCCATTTCTTCCTCCGATTCCATATTTATTGGCTTATACAGAATTGTATTGTATTGCTGTTCTTACTAGACTTTGTTTTACTGCTTCGTTTAAATGAAAACTGCTTTGTCCTCTATAACCCGCTGTTTTGTCTTTCCCAAATCTAGTGATACTAGTAATTCTAGGTAGATTTATTCTATTGCACACCTTATCAAACGATTTCTAGCTGAAATTTTTTTATGAATTTAATTTATCAATATAAAGTAGAACGCTTACCATGTTCGTGCAAAATTGTCTTAAATGCTTTATCACTACATGTCGATCATTCTAGTTCTTAACTTAAGGACACAATGCTCTCCTGTCATATGCAAAATTGTTCGAATGATGTCAAGCGTTACCAAAAGTTAGGGATCTTAATGCAGTGACGTTTCTGTACCGATAGTTTCGGAGATACTGGGAAATCAAGGAAACTTCCTGGACTTGTCCAGTGGAGAAAACTCTTAGATTCAAAGATATTGAAAAGAGAGCTCTTCAGTTCTGATTTTTGTCAGTTGTAAAGAGTATACAGCACGAGTTGTTCATCTTATGTCCATCACAATGCATTTGTACGATCACTGAAATTTCGTTACTAATTGCATCCCATAGAATACGGTATTTTTAATTACGCTTTTATTTTTGATGAATGGTCTTCTTTTTTCTGAACGAAAAGGTGATGTTCACTGATATGACGTAATTTCAGCTCGCAAATCTGTTATTAATGTAAGCTCTTGGGCGATAAGAAATCGACTACGATGCCTCTAATCAAAATTTTTTCATACGTAAAGAAATTACATACATATGTTCAAAACACTGACAAAAACACAATATAATTTCATAGGCGCTTAGAGGGATTTGTTTACACGTTATTTGCTCTTCAATCCGCTCTAAATTCAAAGATTCTATACGCTCTCCAACACTATTAACTTTAATATATTTCGTAATCCTTCTCAATAAAGGCGTGGATTTGTCAATGTAAATCCCAACTCCTTCATTGGACCAGAAATGACAGTTTTTAAAGACATATTGTATTAGCGTGAACGTTTTGCCACAATCTGATTGTTTATTTTATATATTTGTTGACATGTGAGGAACTGATGTATGGACTTAAAAGCCATCACATACTCGTCATTGTTTCATAAGATAACTGATCAGCAAAGTAAGTTATGTCAGAATATGTAGCTTATTAGTATGTGTTGGCAAGATAATCAAGTCAATACTGATTCAAAGTCAATGTTTGTGGCGCAGATAGATTCACTTTTATATTTTCATTGAAATTGTAAACCTTTAATTCTATTTCATACTTTAGTATTTGGCTTCATGCATTCATTTCAAGCTATACTCTCTAAGCCTAGTTTTCAATAGCATGAGTATTTTTTGGACTCATTTCGTTGTGATGCTGATTTCCTCTCCCTCTACTGATATGAATTTTGACAGCCAGGGTCATGGATACTTTCACTGACCAACTGGTGGTAAACTGGTAATCCTAAAAACATACCAGGCAAACACAGTTACTTGGATCAGTTTGTTTGTAACGAAGTTGACCAATGAAATTGTTAGGTGTCCTCAGCAAACACAACTTATGATTATTTCAGATAGAAAAATTCTTCTTAATCTTTTACAAAAATCTCTAAATCTAAGTAATGTTGTTTCAGCACTGAAGTGTACCTGTTTAATGCCTCCATACAACTTCAGAGTCGATGGAGTTAAACTGTTATCTCCAAGTCACAGGAAACAACTGGTGGATTGATAGGGAATGTCCTCCTCAAAGTAACCGTCGTGCGAGTAAAGATTCAGTCGCCCCAGCACTTACCAGTTCTTAATTCTGCTTTGTTTGCATGTTTTACTCTATTTTTGTCTTTGTTTATCAGTCGAATGACCACACTTTGGAACTTTAAAAGACTTTTAATCGAATCAATTCTTTTGCATTTAACATACATGGTTCTTAATTTTACGTCGAAAAAAATTATTTCTGCTTTTCGTTAACTAACTATTCACACCACTACTATACTAAACATAGAGCCTGATACATATGCATCGGTTCAAGTTACCACTCCACATTTACATAGCTTAATAACATTATTTCAAAATAAATTCCAGAGTAGTATAAGTAGTAGCAGAAAAATTAGGTGTAGTAAAAGGATAGGGAGATGTTGGAACGACCTTCCTTCTCAGTTTGATTAGTGATTCATGTCATTTATCCTTAAGATTTTCTAGAATATTACCAACAGTTCGTGCTACTCCCAAAGTGCACAGTTAAATAACATTTCTTTTTGTAGCTCATATTTTCAGCTGCTCACTCTGGTAAATTCTTAAAAAGATAACTACCTTCAACTTCAAAATATACTCTGTTTGGCTACGAAGAAAAATTTTGGTTCCTAGTTGGTGAAGAAAACCGAATTCCTGAGAATCGATATTGGAAAAGAAGTGCATGCAAAAAATATTCCAACTTGAAAAGTTAATTGATCCCAGAGAAAAGGTGACATCACTGGGATATACGTACAAATAACCTAGAGTTGTGACTTTATCTTATGATTTAACCGAAATAACTATTTGCTTAAATTTTTCAGAAAAAGTTTATTTTAAACGTGCCTGAAATTTTCCTGCATTCATGGTCAGTGATAATTTCTCTTGTTATTAACATCTTATTGAGTTTCTGTTTTTTAATCGACCTTGAATACTTTATCGTTCAAATCTATTTCAGGTTTGTGTGTCGACTGACTAAATCCTATACTACAAAGCTTAAACATTATTTCCATATCAATCAGGCTACAGCTAGTGCTCAGATCATTAAAACGTTTCGACAAATTAGCATTATAAATATTCAAATGCCTTCAGACCTCTCTGGTTATGTTTGTGTGGTTACAGGAGCTAGTCGCGGTGTCGGTCAAGGTATAGCTATCGGCCTTGGTAAGGCAGGAGCTACCGTTTACCTTACTGGAAGAACTCTTTCATCAGAAAATGGTAAAGGAGGAGTTAGTCTTCGTGATACTGCCCATATTATTAACGCATCAGGCGGAGTAAGTTTTATAAAATAATATTTCTATTTGAGTTTCACAGTAGTTTTAACATTTTCCACGTAACTTTTACCGTCAAGGATTCTTACAGTTCATTTATCAGGAAATGATTACGATTGTGTGTATATGTATCATCATAACTGGATTTCGTGCCATATCGCTCAGTTTCCAACTGTAGATTATGATCATTTCTTTAATAACGACCAAGTAGTCTGTGTGTTCCTTTACGTTTCATTTCATTATTTAGTAACTCGATGAACTGGTCGTTTAGTCTATACTCATTTTTCAATCTACTAGTATGATACCCATCATAAAGCGTCAATTTAAATGCTGTTTGAAAATCCATAAGTTAATATTACCTAACCATATACAACACACCGGAATAATTTCATCATTTAAAGCATCTAGAAAAGGTTATTTAACTTATTTTTGCTATGAATTATTGTTATAAAATAGAATCCTCTTTCTTTATCTTTTAAAAATTTGTCAGTGAAAATTAAAAAAACGTTTTATATAAGACCACATATCAGTTAGCTGCTCTGATTTCTAATCATTATTCGTAAAGAATGTATCCCCTAAGGGTGTCGAATATTTCGCTACATGATTACAAAACAAAATGTTATGTGTGAGTTAGGAATGAATATACTAAGTTCAATATACCCCCGCATGATTTTGAGGTGATAGAGAAGATTTATAGCTCATGTTAATGATTTTGGTGAAGTTTCATTCTCGGAGTAGGATTTTTTGGTCGTGGAGTTTTCATTGTTATTCTGAGCAACATCATCAATAAAAACTTCAGGTAGAAGTTAAGTATTTAAGTTTCTACACTTATGACCAAAAGCCTGCCCTGTCGATCTCAATCTTGATGGGTTAGTGCCGACGTCTAACCTGCCATTATCAACCTCTTTATTTTGATCGTATTTCCCTCTGACCTGATTCTTGGTTCAACACTTGTCTATGATTTTTTTGACTGGTTGATAAATCGGATCAATTTTAATGTGTTGTTGGTTGACCTGAGTGCCAAGCTTCAAAACATTCTCTGGTGTTGTTATTATTTCCTCTATCCAAGATTTCGACAATCTTCCAGTCAAATGTGTGTACGAAATTGTCCATGCACATTTATATAACCAAAGATATCTCATGGCGATTGACCGCTAATTAATGTTCATCCGGTCGAAGATAAAGTGGGTGTCCTCTTTGCTTGATATAGTTTGTTGCAATTGGAAAGGTTTATTTCAAAGGTTATGTTCGGTTTTTCTTTTGTTGTTTCACCCCTTGGTTTGCATAAGATCCATCGAAGTGATTTTATCGGTTTATGTGTCACACCTAGTCCAAACAGCTTCAATAATCGTTGCAATTTATCACATTTCATCAAACAAAAATAAAGAATTCAGCGAAGATTTTCTTTTAGATGAAGTCATTTACTGAAGCTGTAAATTCATAATTATGGTTGTATGGTAAATATATGTCTATAGAAGGATAGAAAAGATTGCATCATAAAGTGATTCGAGACTCTAAATACCAAATGAGGTCGCGTAATAATCAGAGGATTAGAGAAGAATAAGAGGATTAAAATAATTTACGGGTCAGAATTACAAAAGTTAGTCGTTCGCTTGTCAGATATGAAGAAACTATGAGAAACATATAGGTTAATTACTCTAGTATAACATTATCAATTATTCAGCTACAACCATTACTATTTGGTCCTAAATTTTGTAGTACGTCAACTAATATTAATGAACGCAACGCTAAAATCCTGTTTAAAAGCCTTATTTGTCTGACAGGTGACCTTACCCCCGTATCTAACAGAGATTATGAACAACACTTGTACACTGCTGTAATCAATACGTAAACACAATACCTAAAACTAAATAACTACTCATAAAAGAACATAAATCTCAATTATTTGATCTGAGAAATCAGGATTTAGTGCTGTGTCGCCCAGATAGGGGTTCAGGAATTATCCTCATGAATATTCATAACTATGTCATCAATCTATCCTCAATATTATCTGATGCTGTCAGATTCTCTAGAGAGACCTTTCAAAAAGATGCGACCGAGAAAACGGAACAGATCTTAACTAAAATCCTAGAGAAGATGAGTTTATTATCAATTATGACTTTATGAACATCTTAAACCATCGGGTTTAACTATGCTGAGTCTATACGGACTCCTGAAAGCTCATAAGAAGAATGTTCCCTTACGTCCTATACTTGGTATAAATAACTCTCCGTACCATTTGATTGTTAAATGGTTAAATGAAATTTTACAACCCACTAGCAATCATATCAATAGATGCAACTCTCTATTCATTTGACTTTGTCGACTCAATTAGAAATGTCAGTGTAAATGTATTCTCAGTATGCAATTCAGAATTAACAATGGTTTCTATAAACAAACCTATGGAGTTGCATTGGGTTCACCACTAGGCCCCTCTTGGTTGATTGTTCCGTGGCCAAGCTGGAAAATATAGTACTTCGACCAATAATTGAAAGATTCCATCTATATAAGAGATATGTGGATGATACCTTCGTTATGTGTGAAGAGCATATTGACGTAAATGAAATTTTGAATCGATTCAATAATTGTCATAGACAATTCGATTCACATTAGAAGCAGAGGGCAATGAGGTATTTCATTTTCTCGATGTCTTGTCGAAAAGGTCAAATGGCTTTTTACGGAGATCTATATATAGAAAACCTACCTGGAATGGTCAGTATATGAATTACTGTAGTTGGGTCCCATTAAGTAGAAAGAGAGACTTAATGCACTCTTTGTCCTCAAGGATTCGGCGAATATTTCCTAATGACACAACAGATGACGAACTACTTTAACTTCGACAGATACTCATCAAAAATGGTTATCCACCTAGATTCGTCGATAGGAAATTAACACCAAGACAACAACAACAGTTCGAAAGAAAACTTTTTGTGAATATCGAATGTAAAGGAGATACGGCTACCGAACTCTTAAATAAACGGATTTCAAAATCCCTCAATAAAACATTTTCATCTACGCTCCGTACTGTCTTCTCAAGCCGGTTTATCATTCATGGATGCGCTAAGGATAAACTTCCGCTTTGGACCATATCGGTGTGCATCTACAAATTTACTTGCTACTGTGCGGCAGGTTACATTGGCCACACAAAGCGATCACTTTCCAAACTCATCTCAGAACATTATCCGGATGACTTTTAAAAGCAGAATGCGAGACAGTCACCACTTCGATACAGGTCGCAACAGGTTGGAATTATGAAATATAACCGAACAGTTACAAATTCAATACATGAACATTTAATAAAATCTGAACACATCGCTCCTAAGAGAACCTTCTTTAAACTAATCTATGCAAACAATCGAACTGGATCGAAGAGAGGTCGAATAAAAAACTTATGCACTGTTAAGGCGTTGGTGATCCACTGATTCAAGCCAAAAATCTACGTGCAAAAGCGATACGCTCAACGTCTTATCCTTCCTTAGCCCTGATTCTCTCCTGTAGTATGTTTTTTTCTTCATTTTTTATTTCTGTTTTGTAATTTTAAACCGTAATCATTTATTATTATCCCCTAACAATTTTTGATGATTATTATTCGGTTGTTATTACGACCTTTATGTTTTTCATTTTTCTGGATATCTGTCAAGTGGATAATTATCTTTTTGATCTGTTAATTATTTCCACACTCCTGTTCTTCTCTAACCCCCTGAATATGACGTAACCTCATTTAATATTTAGAGTCTCGAATCACTTTATGATGCAATCTTTTCTATCCTTCTATAGACATATATTTACCATACAACTATAATTATGAATGTATAGCTTCAGTAAACGACTTCATCTAAAAGATAATCTTCGCTCAATTCTCTTTATTCTTATCCCAATATTTCTTTTATATAGTGTTGATTGGTGCATTTTTGGTTTCGTTTCGCTGATAAGTTTGATTGGTATGTTTGTCTAAGTGGATAATCGGCCTTATGCAATATCGTGCTTTGTGTACCATCATCTCACCTACTGTTTATCCCTGGAATAGGATACGAGGACAGGTACAGAATATGTCTGGATTTTCTCACTCTATCAGTAGTAAAACATCAAAATAAATATCAAGATAAAACAGGCAAGTTAAATAAAAAATGCCCAACGGTAGTTAGAATGAGAAAAAGTTAGATAAGTGTTGTTAGTATAGTCAGATAAACAGATAGCATTAGTTCGCATAAAAATTCACTGCCTGATTGAACTGTTGAGAAACACTTAGAGTTATTTGTTGGGATGTATTAGATAGTCTAAGTCTATGGTTAGGAAACTAGATAATACGATGCCCAACTGGTCATAATAGCATTTCATTTATCGATACTGTTGTTAATCTTTTCAGACTATTGTTTTCCATTCATTTTCTTTTATATTTAATTGCTTCCCTTTTGTTATGTTAATATAAAGTAGAGTAATTAAAACTGACACATTTCTGTAACAGCTACTACTTTCTATATTAACATTTATTTGTTTCTCGATATTGCTTCATTCTTTCTGATCAGTAATAATGTGCCATATCAGTATACTTAAGCTTTTTCTGATAAAAAGAGTATCTTAATGGTATTTTATATTGTTTTATGACATGTACAACATTTTGTAATACTCTATCTTTACTAAATAATGTTATTACAAGTGAAAGATTTAATTTCTTTACTTGATTAAGTTTCATTTCCTTTTTTTTGTATTATAGAAAGCAATCACTGTTGCTGTGGATCATTCTGATGATACACAAGTTGCAGGACTATTTTCTCGTATTCATAAAGAACAATATGGTCGTTTAGATATATTTGTAAATTGTGCATTTAGTGCAACTGATTATTTATTGGATAATAATAATTCACCATATTGGGAATCTAAACTTCGTCCAAATGAAGAATGGGATTTAATTAATCGAGTTGGACTTCGTAATGCATATATATGTAATGTATTAGCTACACGTATGATGATAAAATGTCGTGAAGAGTCAATGGATTTAACAAAGAATAATGAAAATGCATATAATCATTCTAATAATATAACAACTTCACTTGTTCAGAATAAACCATTACCTACAGGATTAATTGTAAACATTTCTAGTTTCGGTGGAATTACAAGGATATTTAATGCTGCATTTTGTGCAGGTAATTAACAATAGATTGTTATTAGTTTGTTATAAAAATAAAGCGTATAATTTTAAAAAGTGTACAAATATCACTGACTGTAATGATTAAAAGGTTATAGATGTTGAATGTTTGTACTAGTAGTGCATACCCACCAGCAAGAAATATTTGTAAACTTATGGCTGTGTATTCTATTCCATGCTGCTCAACGCGACCACAGTGATAAACATTATTACTGATATAATTTAGTACATAATAGATCAGGTTCACATCTCTAGTGAACCATTAGAGTTGTATATAAGCCGATAAAAATCAATCTATGAAATGAATTTCATTTGATTTATTCAGTAAATTCTTCTGTTATCGTATTATTAAACTTTACATTTTTATTCGTTCGTTTTTTCCACTCTCTTATCATCACAGATATTGATAACTTGGAATAAATTCAACTTTTGTTTTTCTAATGCATTGTTTATTCATCTGAATTGGTTTTCAATATCTTCATGTCTGTTGTTGCCATAGGGAAAAACAGTTATTATTTTCACTTTTTTATATAAATAATAATAATAATAATAAAAGCAATGCGAAGTCATTAATCTACTTCGATCGATTGAAGTTAGACATTAACACAGTTGGGTGCTGGCTCAGTAGTTTAGAGGTTAGGTGTTCGCGCACGAGACTGAAGGTCCTGGATCCGAGTCCTGTGTGCGGGATTGTGAATGCGCACAGCTGAGGAATCCATGTTCATTTTATATAGTAATGTGTGTGTGAGCAACTCAGTTCATTAGAAAAATCTAAATAAAAATTAAATTGAGTTAGATACCAATATTTTAGGTGTACATATTTCTACTTGAAAATTTTATTTCATTTTACTACATGTGTTATGTCTTTTGCCTGGTTAATTATCATATTGTCTGATTGCCAATCAGCATACGACGTATGCAATCTTAGCACTGTGCCAAACCAATGTCGTGTTGATCGGTATGAGCAACTTAAATTCTTTATTGATCCTTCTCGTCTATCCCTACCTATTCAGTCCTAAGAACACCAATATCAGCTCCCACTGTATGAATCATATATCTCAGACATACGTGGCTTATATACAAACATACCAGACCTCATCACACTATGAAATGAAAAATAACAATTATAAAAGTCCAGGCCAAAAGTGGCTGCAACTAATAAATTGGGAATATCTTAAGAATAATAAGCCGTATAATAGTAGTCAATAAGTCAGATTAAAGCTTATGATAAAAGGAGTATAATTATATATAATCTAGTTACTAATGCTATACAATATATATATATATATATATATATATATATATATATATATATATATATATATATATATATATATATATATAGGAGATAAGTTTTCGTCAAATTTAATGTTCTTATTCTGTTGTGAGTTTTCAGAGTTGTTTCTCTACTTAACATTATCTATTGCAATGTACCGTATACGTTAGATTGTAAGTAATGTAATAATCTATTGCAGTAATTCAAATACAATCGTTTTCATGTTAATCGATCCATAGTTCTAATATTGTTTCATACTGTTGTTCTGTGGATTCATCCGTTTCTTTTCAAACTACATTTTTTCGTTCAATCATTTTCGCGATCATAATCACTACTATCACATTGACTCTTTTGCTATTCATCTTGTTAACTTGACCTTGCTGTACTGATTTGTTGTGATTGCAACTCGGTTGAATTCATATTTGTTCCAAATAAAGTTCATTATTGTCTAAAATAAATTGAAAAACTCAATAACATAGTGAATCGCTTTTTCTCTCTCTTTAGGCTACTATACTACAATGTGCCCTCTCGAACTCATTATAATTCAAAGTGTCAAAGTTCTCCATATTATGCCTGTCATTCCAAATTGAGAAATTAATGATTTTTACTATGTTGTGTCCTTGATGACCTCAATCTATAACTGCGTTATTTCTAAATATGATAAAAACTAGAACAAGATTTATTAAAAGAATATTGTTTTCAATCCGTTCTTCGTAAACTTTTTCTTTAAGATCTAGTAATATTTAGATACATATTTAAGAAATATAAATCATTCAAGGGAATCTATGATTTATGACTGATGAAGATTTAATTAAAAACAACGTTGATCATTTATATGTCTTATCAGTGCTTGAAGTCACTAACTTCTCGTCTAAGCCATGTTGGTAGATACAGACTACTTGGTGGTGGGGGGTCCGCATGACTATCGTAATAGGTGGTTGGAGACTCTGGATGACATGGTTCAGAATCGATCAAAATGTCATTGGTGTATACCTTCTCGATCTTCCTTTAAACTATGAGATTAAAATCTCTTCATATCTTTCTTTCTACGAACTAATTCTTTCTTCATGTACTGTGTCCTTATATACAGTCTTTCTTTTATATATTACCACTACTGAATTAACTACTTCAATGAATCTGGTGTTCATTTTGCTGTACTAATGAGGTACGGCAACTTGGACCGATGCACATATGTGCCTGATCCTACGTTGTAGCTGACTGACTGACTGATATATCTTATCCTAACTTTTTAATGTGACACAGGTAAATAATACAATGTTTTTATATCATGATTCTATGATCTTTTTCTTAACAATTCACATGACTTAGTAATTTTTATGTCAATAATATAATAGTTATTTGAAAGGGTTTTATGGAGGTTGGTCTTAGTTCACAGGTTGTATTCTTCAGAAATTGATGGTCGTCACGCTTTGTCGCGAATTCACTGAAATTGAAGTCGTGACATTGGACGTCTATCCAGTGGGCCTTGTTGTTAATCACTTGCCATGAAACGTTTAGGACTCAGGTTCCATGGGGTTGTCATTGTGGAGTCTTGAAGAGTTGTACACCAGGACCAAATAGCTGTCCAGTGCTATATCAATTCTTAGTGGTACCATAGCTAATTTCAATCTATGATGTATACTACCCATGAATTAAACCGATTTTTACAAAATCCCTTGAACTTACTTCATAAGATTTATATCAATTATATGAATTAATAATCATTTATCTGTTAAGAAAATGTTCATATTCGATTCTATATTAATCAAGGTAAATCATCTTTGGATAGAATTAGTCAAGAAATGGCACGTGATCTGAAAGAACATAATGCAAATATTAGTATTGTCAGTATTATACCTGGACTTATACAAACAGAATCAGTTGTTTCAGCCTATGAAAGTGGCAATTCAGTTAAACTGTTTGGATATGATGCCAGTTTAAGAATGGGTAAACTTTATATTACTAATTATTTTCAAGTTTCTCATTGAATTTATTTAGAAATTATTTGAACGTCAGCTAAATGATTATTCGTTTTGTTTCTGAAGTCTACAGCAGTGCCCACCTGCAACCTTACACAATATTGAACGTAGAATCCTTAGGTCATGTTGATGTCAGTTTGTGATTCGAACAGCCCACAATTTATACAAAATCGTCTCCTAAAAGCTAACTAACTTGAAAATAAAATATTGTTGATAAGTGGGTAGTTAGTCATAATCAATCATCTAATGTCTAAAAATAACCACCTTGAATATTCAATGACACAATTCATTCCATATAAACGTATAGATTATGTCCCATAGAAAGAATGGATTTAACTCTCTATAATTTGGACTTGAAGGCTGCTACTCCAATTAACACTGAGATCTCCACCACTAAATATAGCTGTTATTTATTGGCTTGAACATTCAACTTTCAACTAATTGAATATCGATAAAAACTACGTTAATGTTTATAAATCTAAGTAATATATCCTTGATTTGTTTACTTAATAATATAGAGAAGATAACTTGTATCAATCTGGGTTAAGGCTAACTGCGTGAGTTCGAATTGAGACTAACGGCCTTAAACAGAGAGACAAAAACGTCTACCAACTGATTGATTGACAAGTGAGAGGAGACGAGTCAACTAGAACACTACTCGATTTAATCCTGATTCCCAACTCAGGTTAGTGTAAAAAGATACATGAATAAATAGATGACTTACACATCCACAACGCACAAACAATTAGGAAAGTACAATTATGTTCAAACTGATCATTATGATAGAAAAATACGGTACAAAAATTACATTTAACTTACAATAGCTTTGGAACAGGAAAGGATATGTCAATGAATAATACATCGAAAGAAAGCTTTTGTTTTATAGAATGACTGAAGGACAGAACTATATCATAGTATTTTACAAACTTTGAATGAAGTAAAACAACGTCCCCAAAACTAGCTTCCGATTTCTGTCATGGCTTCTTTGTTTCTTTAATCACATCAATCCTACGCATACATAAATTTTCAGATGATCGTTAGATAGTAGCACCGAAAGAACTGCAGCTAGAAAGGTAACAATATTTAAGATGTCTCATTTACCAGGTACAGATTTATATGTATGGGTTCTAGCCACAATTTAACTGTGGTGGCTTGTGATACTATCTGTTTGCGCGAACTGAAGCAAGTTAGAGCCTGGTTTGAAATTATGATGTAGTGTTTGAAAGTTAAACACTAGCTACTGAACTGCTAGTTCACCAACAATCAAATAACTGTATTCCCATCATTATCTATGTAAATTGATTGTATGGATTATGTGAATACTCAAAACTCAAGAAGAGATAGAATTTATGAAAACAGTCATCGATTGTGAATGTTAACTTGTTCTTTAGTCTTCTCAATTTACCGAAAGGTCTCTTAGTTGAAAAATAAAACTTAAGTAGTGTTATTAAGAATTCTCTATGTTGTATTCAAATTCAGTCTTTCATTCTTTAGATTACTTAAAATTCTAGCTCGATCATTTCCTTGCTGTTCAAATATTATTATTATTATTATTATTATTATTATTATTATTATTATTATAAAGTTTCCCTGTTTTAAATTTATTTCAACTGACTAACAATATATATATTGACTCAAATTTGTTCATATCCTACCCCAAAAATTGTTTAATACATCATGAGGTTAATTATTACAAAATTCAATCGGAACCTCCATATTGATTGGTGTATTTTCTTATTCGTCTATCCTATAGATAAGGGAGAGGAAAATGCAGTAGAATTGTAGCATCAACTATATGTATGAAGGTACAAGATGTGTCATACAAAAGAAGATATATAGTAGTTAGGGTCTATTGAAAAATTTTTCTTATATAAATATTCACATGTTAATTGTATATCTAATTCATGAATTTATCATAATATTCTATACCTAGTGATGACAATTTTATACTTGTAGTCAATCAGTTAGTGTGGAATGAAATTACTATTATGTGAGACTGTAATATATGGACGACCTTTGAGCGAAGCCAAAGTGATATTGAGAGTGTCTACCTAATTAATAGGGCTAAAGTAGTTTCAGGAATAAATATAGTGATTTACAGTTGATGGTAAGGGTTAGGTTTTAGATTTATGGTTTTCATCACGAACTGGCATGCTAAGAAGCTATTTAAACGAATAGATGAGTGAATTTCGCCCCAAAACCTAAGACCTGTTATATTAAATCTGATTGGTTCGTCCATAAATGTCGAGTCACCTAGAGTGGTGACCACATTGCAACTTGGTCGATAGCATTCGATCTGCACTATGAAGGACTTGACACACATGACATTGATCACTGGGCAGTGATCAATCAATTTTGAATACATCTCAGTCCTACAGGAGGTAGGTCGCTGTTAGGATAGCCCAGCGATAACGTCTCTAACTGTAAAGCTGGATGACACGGGATAGAATCCAGTTCCCTCAAGATTACAGGTAGACCTTGTTGACGAATATCAAATAACACGAAATACCGAGTCCAGGGTTTCGTGTTGATTACCTCCAACCACCATCTTATAAATTATAGTCTCGCCTAAAATTCTTCCAAATAATGATCTCTTGTCTTTTCTATCAAGTTAAATGAATTATTATTTTCTTAAATTCAATTTTCTTTTTTAGCTATGCCAGCTCCTATTCTTGGTGATGTAATTGCATGTTTAGCTCAACAATCAAATAATAAAAAATTACTTCAACGTTCTGGTCATTGTTTATTTGCACCTGATTTAGCTGCAGAATTCGGTATAAAATCATATGATGGTTATAATTTTACAAATTTACGTTCTATTAAAGGATTATTACAATTAATTGGTTGGAAACATTTAGCTATTTTATTTCCAGGATTTATTAAAGTCCCTTATTGGTTAATTGCTATAGTTACATCGAAATTTTAGAGTATCCATTTCTTTTTATAAATCATGTATTAGTTTGATTTTTTATATTTATAATCTGTTATTAGTGATAGTTTATCTTTTAGCATTTAACTCATTTGACTGTCTTTTTCTATTTACATATGTATATGAAATAGAACTATATTCATTCGTCTACTTATATAATTTATCAGTAGCATGATAAACTTTTGCAATACTCCTTTTTCCATTGTGTTTTTTTCTTGCAAACAATAACTTCTTTGTATTAATAAACTACAATCTCTTTTCAATTGACGCTAATATTTCATCATTTATTATTGTCATTATTATTACATTACTATATATTATTATTAACAATACTATTATGACTATTATTGTTTTACTATATTCAAAAGCTTGTATACACTGTTCAATATATCCATTGTTCAATTGTGAAGTGACAAAGGCAGCAATTTTCAAATTTCTTTCTGTTATTCGATAAAAACAGATTAATTTTACCTCATTATTGTTCATAATCATTGTATGTATACTTTTTTTCAGTCTTCATGATCCGTCATCTTTATATTAAATGATCATCATCATAGATCTTTTTCATTCCAGAACAAATTGTTATTATAATCTTGATGGAATTTTGTTGTGAGATGGATGGTTTGGAGCTTTCATTTTTCTTGTGAACGACATCATTGAATCTCTCCACATATGGTTCACAACTTGTCCTGTAAACTTCGATGTTAATTGGTTCTTATTATAATTGTATAATTTTCAGTTAACAATAATATCAGTTATTGTTTATCATAAAAGTTGTTTACGTTTACTTGTATATGTATGACAAGTTTTTTTGTTGTTGTTTACTTTCTATTGTTTTATTTCATTATTCTTGTGGTTAAGTTTATATTATATAAATTTCCTTTAACAAAACAACTATTACGAAATAAGTTCCTTCTCCAAATTTTCTGACCTCTGCAGTGGTTGTATTGCGTAATTAGCACAACGATGTTTTCGTACTAAGTATATGAATTAGTTTGTATTGTTTCTGTCATGTTATTGTCCCCAAATGTCCTGCTGCGACCAAAAGCGGGAAGAGTCAGCTCTCTCGAAATGCTCTCACATGGCCACAACTACTGTCAGGGAAGTCCTGCCCACTATCTTCTCGTGGCGGGGTGTTGTTTACGAAATTCAGAGGACGAAAAGAGAATGTCCGGAGCTTTAACCGGGTTGGTGGGCACGGAGGTGCCTCCTTGTACTGTTTGTGTTTAAATAAATAAATATTATTCACTCTCAACACAAGAGACTGGAATGATGGGCAGAAAACTGCTTCCAGTTACCAAAATCATTATTTCGACTAGTAATCCATATGCATGCCCAACCATCGATCACCAAGGTACGCAAAGCTAACTGTTGTAGACGGATGGAAAAAAGTTAGGGGCGTCCAAACCAGGACGTGGCATCATTTCATAAAGTCACTAACTTCTGGTCTGAGCTATATTGGTCGATGCAGACTACTTGGTTTAGAATCAATCACAATGGCGTCGGTATATACTCTTTGCCTTTCCTTGAACCGTGAGATCAAAATTACTTTGTACCTTTCTTCCTACAAACTAATTCTTTTCCCCTGTATCATATCCATATATGAAGTCTTTTTTTACTGCCATGGAAGTAACTGCTTCTATGAATTTGGTGTTCATCTTGTTGTGCTAATGAGGTATGGCAACTTGGGCCGATGCCTGGTCATATGTTGTAGATGACTGACTGAATCCATATAGTCAGGGAACTGACATATCCATATATGTAGGTACTCAGTCCCAGTCATCTTGATAAGTGCGAAACTATTAGAATTACTAGTTCAATAGCAACACTACTATTTAATATTATGTGAAGCTCAGGCTTGATTCAGATTCATCACTGCACTCAATATACATTTTAAGATACTAAGGGATATTTACCCGATTCATTAAACTACACAAGTCTCAAATCCATAAGTTAACACTTAATTGAATCGGCATAATGTTCACGTGATATTGTAAGAGTAACTCATCTCATTTTTAAGTTTTCTAAATTGAACATTATAAACACTACTGCATTGATGTAAATTCTTCAAACAACAACTATCAAGAAATCCATTCGTGAATGACAAAAGCGATGCAAGTGTACTGCCTACTTTTGTAGTCTTTTGGGTACTGCAAGTACTCAGTCACATTTTGCCTACAATTTTGAGAGTCAGTTTTAAATGTGTTTATTAGTCAGCCATCATTATTTACTATATTCCAGTTCGTTTAAAAAAAACAATGTTTAGAAAGTCTATAATTCAAAACGAATCTTAGTTACATTCCTAAACAGAATAAAAAGCGGAAATGAGACTTCGCTAGGGAGAAAGTTCATAGACAGATTAAATAGTCACATGACCGATTAATTAGATCCAGTAATTCATTTATTAGATGTTCAATTTTGAATCACACTGTTTGATGACATTATTCAATTGCTTAAATCAGTATAGTCAAGGTGAGGTTCGAATCTACAACCAAGTGATTGAAGGCCTCAACTTTAAAATTGACGCTTCAGAGGAACAGTAATAACTAACTGTTAAACAAACATTGTGACTCAAGGCTGACTGAGTAAATCTCTGTTTGACAAGTGAAACCGGACAATTAATGGTGGAGTTTATCAAAATCCGTCATCTCTATGCCGAACAGACTAATCAACTATATAATTGAGATTGTTTGAAACTGAAATTTCAATGTCAGATTACGTAATTCATTAAAATATTTACGAATAAATACAACCGTTTACTACGAACAACATAATATAGGGAAAAGAAAAACATTGAATCTAGTGCAATCACTGTCTCTTTTATTGTTTATATATCTCACATATTATTAAAGAGCCAATTAAAGGAAAATACAATTTCCAAATAATAAAACTGAATACATTATCTATTGCAAACTAATTAGAGAACCGGATTTCTAGAAAACAAAAATCAATATAAATTAAAAGTATGAGGGTAAGAAAGGATTCCAGAAAATAATATTTAGTTAGTGGAGACATTTACATAAGCTCGAAATGCTAATAAATGTGAATCATCTTTCTGTAATTGATGAACACTGAAAGCAGTTCCAGCGTTGATGAAAAACACAGATCCTTGATCATATTCACTGAAATATAAAGAGTAAAGGTATGAGTAAGAATGAATCAATACTTTCGTATTTGGATGATTGTATAGTGGTTCACTCATGATTCAAGTAGATTATTCGGGTGTAAAATTGTCTGTTTACCAGAAGTAACTTCACTAATGCATGAGAGATAATAGTTGAAACCCTCTGTTGAATATTAAATTTTTAAAGGCTTTATCAGTTTAGTTTAAAATACAGTGCCATCATATAAGAGTTTGTAAATAGTCTGTTAATAAGGGTGTCATTGAACGATGTGAGTGGACATATGTTACACATACTCAGCTAGCAGCTATCTTGGAACTTTTTCTGAATAGTTTATGGCTCAATAGGGACTATATTAATCTATCGTTAGTAAGAGTTAAATAATGTTATTTATTTCATAAGGCTAATAAATAAATACATAAATAAATTCACTTGGTATTGTTCGTTTGAATCTTCCCATTGATGTTTACGACTGCAATTGATCAGTCTTTTATTGGCATATGTGCATACTGTGCGTATTACTTAAATATAGCCTTAATTCACAAGCATTATATACAAAGATGGATAGTGGGAATCTAAACTTCACCCGATTGCATAAGCCAGTGGCTATCAGGACTCAGTAGCAAAGTGGATAACGCGATGGCGTTTAAAGCGGACGATAATGACTTCGAGCCCCACAGTGAACATCGACTATGAGGTGCAGCAGGTGCATCCAGCTGACGAGCCCAAAATAGGACGAAACGCGTGTCCAATTGGGTTTCCCCTGCTAGCCATTCCATCTTACCATAAAATACATAAATGTTAAAATTTTACACTTTAAAGAATACTTACAAAGATTCACAAACAAATGCAGAAGGCATTGGATAATTATCCGCATATTTTGATCTGTGATTGTCTAGCTTAGTGTTAGAAGTGGATAAAGCATCCCAATGCAAGCGTTGTAATGTGCCTTTCCCACGGATAATAATCAAAACGCTGGCAGATTTCAATGGCGAAAACTGAACTATTTTATCCTTGTCCGATATCTGTAATGAAAAATATAAATAAACTTCTAATTCATCCTGCTCTAATTGAAAAATACATAGTACGACAAAGATTCTTGATTATATGATTCACAGTAGGAAGTGGTAGAACCGACGAATAAAACACATGGTCAGTCTGAGTGCCATTAAACGTTTTTATTAAAATGATACAGAACAGAACCTATACATTTAACAGACTTGAATTGTGGCTAACAGTGGAATCCACAACCAGTGTCTTATCCTATTTGAGGCTCAGCTGGATGAACCTGAATCCGTGTTGACATTCATACCGAATCAGTAAAGGGCGGCAAGCTGGATTCTCTATATTATCATCAGTATGTACATGTGCATCAAGCTGATGAGTCCAAAATGGGACGAAATACGTATCTCGGATTCATTTGCTAGTAGTAATCTGACTACTAAAAAATGTAACTGAATGTCAATATAAAGGCAATTCGCTCAAGATGCGTATATGCTAATATGGAGAGACTGGTCACCTGAAGACTTGAATAACAACGGAAAAATAAAAACCTTTACAAACAATTTATCATTATTAAGATGTAAAATTATTGTCCAAAATCAATATTTCCACTACTTGGTTAACAAGCATGATATTGGGTAATTACAACTCGGTTACTAAACAAAGACATGCAGATCGTCTTTAACTCACATTATGTGAGGATTCACGATATCACCACAGGTATTCAAACTGAAATAGGAGGAGAGGGATTCATACCGAACTACTGGTTAAAAACTATGTACTTTAGTTAATAAGCTACATGATATCGAGTATTGGTCAGATACAAACTAAGGTAAACACCTTGCTTATGTAGGATTTTTGTGAATGCCTGGA